AAGACATGATAAAATAATAACGAGAGAGTGGCAACACGAAACGAACAGGTTGAACGAAAACTATGTGCCTGTCGCTCCGTTGAGCTCCGCGTTCAACAGAACCGAGGGTCAATCGCATTTTTCCGTGGAGCGCGTCTTTGGACTCCTTTGATGCCACGCGTGACGCGGGACAAAGAGAGGCAAAGCAGGGCAAGATAAGGCAAGACAAGGCAAGGCAAGGCAAGGCAAGGCAAGGCAAGGCAAGGCAAGGTAAAGCAAGATAAGGCGAGGCGAGGCGAAGCGGAGTGTGGCGAGGCGGGGCGAAGCTCCGTTCGCCAAGTAAAGCGGAGGGACGATGCAGGGATGCGCGGCGTAACCCGCCGCGTCAAGTGGCGCGTCAAAGAGACGTAAAGAGCGCGACAAGACACGTACCTCTACGATTGAATGGCCGGACCCGTACGGCAACCTTTATTTTATCCGTAGCCATGGCTTTTGCACACCGGTAACGCGCGCACTTCGCTATCACACGATCGCGAAAAACCGTTTAGCGCGATTACGCCTGCACGTGATTACGTCTACTCTCGCACGATTTGCACATTATTCTCAACCCATACCGCGAACCTGTCATCTTTCGAACGACACTGCGTCTACTGTCTACACTGAGCCTCCCGTGACACACTTCGCCATATTGCTTAAAGCCCGTAGTCAGCGCTGGACACAGGACAACGACAATCGTCCAGGCTATCGAGACTATCGAATGAACGTGTTTCCGAGAATCGCCGTTAGGAACCGCTCGCGGTTCGATAAACGAGTGACGTCACCGGCAGAGAGAAACCTGAGAGCGGCCATGGAGGCCTTTTTCTTGTAATGCTTCTAACTCCCCGTACACTAGTGTCACCAAAGTCTATTTTCGAGCTGCGGGAACTACGTACAACGTCCATTTTCGTGACCCGCCGTCTCGCCGATAAAATCGAATCGTCGAAAAAGGACGTGGTTCGGGTCCGTGAAAAATCAGCTAAACAAGATTTGCTCAGTATGAGTGAGCGCGACAGCACGATACGTCCGTCCTTTTCTCGTTCGGCAACCTTTGACGCATCGAGAGAGAGAGACAGCGAGACTGAAGTTGGCACCTTAAATGCGAATATTGGTAAAATCATTATTGCATTCGTTTGTCCACTGTTTGTCCACGTTTGTCCACCATCCACAAAAAAGTTATGCACAAAATAATTTGTAACACCCCCAAGTGATTATTTTACACTATTACGAAAAATATAATTAAGATAGGGTGGACAAACGAAAATAATGGGTGGACAAACGAATGCAATAATGATTTTACCAATATTCGCATTTAGAAATTTCAACTTCAGAGAGCTGCTTTGTGAAGTTGGCAACTTAAATGCGAATATTGGTAAAATCATTATTGCATTCGTTTGTCCACTGTTTGTCCACGTTTGTCCACCCTATGTTTATTATATTTTTCGTAATAGTGTAAAATAATCACTTGGGGGTGTTACAACTTATTTTGCGCATAACTTTTTTGTGGATGGTGAACAAACGAAAATAATGGGTGGACAAACGTGGACAAACAGTGGACAAACGAATGCAATAATGATTTTACCAATATTCGCATTTAAGGTGCCAACCTCACAAAGCAGCTCTGTGAAGTTGAAATCTCTAAATGCGAATATTGGTAAAATCATTATTGCATTCGTTTGTCCACTGTTTGTCCACGTTTGTCCAACCATTATTTTCGTTTGTCCACCATCCACAAAATAGTTATGCACAAAATAAATTGTAACACCCTCAAGTGATTATTTTACACTATTACGAAAAATACACACACATATATACACATGCATGCAAAAAATTTTCACTTTTCACGTTTCCGCCCTAGGGGAAAAGGTACGTGATTGAACCCCTGATCATGTGATTTAGACAGCCAATCAATCCATACCCTTGAATGAACGCATCTCTGTTTTCTAGGTGCGTCCAGTGTGAATCCAGCAAAGAGAATCACAAAACGTAGACATTACCTTACGAGGTACAGGAAAAAGTCAAGGTGTCCACTCTCAGGTTTCTCTGCTTTAACAATAGATGGCATTAACTTTTCTTGTGATCTGTCCAACAGCTAGACTTCTCCATCGCGCATAATAATAATTATGTCAATGTCAATAGTATCAGTATAGTGCAACTACTATGATAGTTTTGGCGGTATTTTGCAGTCATTTGCAGTAGCTTGTCAAGCTTGAATTTATAACGAATTACATGTATATAGTCTTTTGCAATTTACAAAATGTAAGCAGAAAAGAATCTTGAAGTCGTAAAACATTTAAAGAATAAAGATTTACAAGAGTTTGTGAAAATGATTGTAAAATTTGAAAAGATAATAAGCTGTTCCTCCGAACACCCAAAGTATCCAGCTGCCAATCTTCTTCAACGTAATTCAGAAAATTGGAAAGCCACATGGCGATGTAGTAAACCAGGAGAAATGCTGGCACACATCATTTTTCAACTTGTTGAACCTTCTTACATTACGGGAGTCGATATTGGCAATTATCAGAGTTGTGTGGTGATTGTCACTGGATCTACCTCATCAGAACCTGACAACTGGATAGTTATCATCAATTACCAGTTTATGACAAACGATGAAGCTGCAAATGACAAATTTAAGGATCAAGTTCAATTATTTACCAAAAGAGAATTAAATCCTGACACTTTGAAGATTAAATTTGACCGAATCAAAGTTACTTGCATGCAATCTGCTAATTTAAAAGTATTGTTTGGATTGTCGTACATTATTTTGCGATCAGATCCGACGATCGATTTAGGTTTAGATGCCTTTGGCAAGTTTAAATTGAAACAACCACATATGGTCAAGACACCTATGGAAATGATGAAAGAAAAAATCCTTAACAAAACAGAAGACACAAAGATAAATTATAAGACAGAATTACGTGAGCAAATAAAGAAAGATTCAATGGAAAATTTTGCGAAGTGTCAACAAGAACAGAAACTTATCAAAAGGCCGTTACTAGAAAAGCTAGAAGCTGGAGAAGCCGATCAAATTTTTGGAAAAAATGATAAGGCTCAACCACAATGTTCAAAAGATAAAGATAAGACCGTTAATAAAAGTCCTAAAATTACTAAAAATGAATCAAATGAAAAAGTGGTTAGAACTCCTTTCGGAGACGTTGTACCTCCGCGAAATGTTGATGCTAATAAAAATAATATAAAAAATGGTACTCAAGATTCTTCGAGTTCTAAGAAACGTTCTTTGATTAAATTGGAGGATTTGTCAGATTCAAAATTTAATGAAAGAAAGAAACAAAAGTGTTCTGAATGTTGTGTAGATTCGCAAGATCGATTATGTACAAATTGTCAAAGATTGCCAAAGCCCAAAGAGCCTACTAAAAATGTTCCTTCACAGGCAAGCAACCACGTTTCAGTCAAAAAAACATTTAAAGAATTATTCAATGACATTACATTCTCTCTCAGTGGATATGTTAACCCACAAAGAGACGATATCAGAAGAAAAGCTCTTAGTATGGGAGCCAAATATATTCCTGATCCAAATACAACTAATAAAAAATGCACTCATTTGATATGTGCTTTTAAAAATACACCAAAATACCAACAATTTAGAAATCATACGAAAATTGTTTCTCATACTTTTATTGAGGAATGTTTTGATAAAAAAATAAGGTAAACATATCATGTAATATATGTTTTCTTTTATTAAAGACGAAAAATATATAAAGTTTCATAAATTATGTATTTTACAGATTTCCTTGGAGGCGATATGCTTTAGATCAAAAAGAAAAATTGCAACCTGAAAGCGAAGAGGAAATTGATGGCAGTCAATCAGAATCTGTATATGACATAGACACTGATACTAATTCAGATTATTAATATTTCAGTTAAATGTTACATTAATTATTAATAACATATTTGTCTAATTTCTTTGACATTTTCATCACATGTGTTATAAATAGTATTTTCTTTAAATTTTCAATAAATATATTTTTATGTACAAAACATAGAAACATATTCATTTAATATAATCAATTAATGTACAGAGTTAAGTCGCCAAACTTAAAATATGAACACGTCCAGAGGAAAATTTTTGTTTGTTTCAGGTCCTGAATTTGTATTTTTTGACGGTTTAATCTGAGAGCACCCTGTGCACATATATGCACTGATTAAAATTAAATAATATAATATAAAATCAAATAGATATATATATCAATATTATTTTGCGAATTATAAGCAGTATTCTAGAAGAAAAAGGGTGCATTAAAAAATAATAAGATTTAATTAATAAAAGATATTTAGATTATTTAATAAAACTTTCACACATTTAAATTTCTGAATTTTCGTTTTTAACTAATGGTGTCGAATATGTAGATTATAAAAGTATATTTTTTTACTTGACAACATAATGTTATTAATAAAATAAGACATACAAGTTTAGTTTATAATATCCTATTGCAAATATACATATATGTTTTCTATGTGTGTTTTATGAAACTTGGTCTAGTAATTCGATAACGTTTTATTTTAATCGAATCTAAATAAAAAATAAATACAAAATGATGGATTTATTATATAGTGGACAGAATTAAAAAAAATAATTTAATTATCGTAATACTCGGTTTTAGAAGCACTACATATATCTATAACATCATATTTCAAATTTTACTTTTTTTAAAATCTATCAATGGTTGCGTTGAAGGCAGAAAAAGCAGCTTTGTAACTATGTGTAAAAATTCATTGATATGATTAGTCTTGCCTTTAGAATTCTGAGACCCCAAAATCGAATTTAGCGACTTCTCTTTCTTAGATTTTCTTTCGTTGTCTCGTTCGCTCTCAGCGCCGCCGATGGAACAAGGAGAAACGATTAGAGAGACAAGGACAGCGCGATGGTCGACGGAGCTCCTGCTACAATCACCAGCTTTGCTGATGTGCTACCGGTTGCGCCAGGCCGCCGAACGATGGCGCTACCATCGAATGGTGCAAGCGGGTTGGAAAGTTGGAAATCGCATCACTCTGACAGGATGACTGATTCCGTAAATAGCGTATTTGGTTTCGAGCTCTTTCAAAAACTTTATCATGATGATATTCACAAAAAGGAAGATGTAATAATTCTATTTGTGCATTGGTATTTGACCAAATCTGGATTTAGATGCATTGGCATCGGAGATGAAGTGAGTTCTGATGACATGATAAACGTATCTTTTGTCATTCTGCGTATCACTCAATATCATAATATATATATTTATATTGTTTGTATACATCGAAAGCATCTTTTATAATTGTTCTTTCACGTTACAAAAAGTCTAACCTATATATGGACTTTGTTAAAAATACTTTTTTTATAATTATAATTTGTTCTAAACGTAATTGAGCAACAATTACAGATAATGCGTCATATGTTGTAATTATTTTTTAAGGCATTAAAATTTAATTCTTTAGGCAGCGTTTAGTGCATCAGAAAAAGGTTCTGAATTACTTCCAACAGAATGGAATTCACGTCCCAATTATGCATTACGTTATGTAAAAGATGGAAAATTACATATCCTTCTCGGAGTCAAATCAGATATGGATTTATTATTGAACTGGATGGTAATAATTATAAACACATGACAGCAGCAAACTTGTGTTGTGTTGTGTGTGTCATAGTAAATTAATTATTAAAGCAATTAACTCTTTACTATAAAACACTTATTTAATAAGTACTTATATTTAATAAGTATTCTTATATTCTTATAGAAGCACCAAGACAATTCTGTTTCTAACATTTCGTTTCCTATTGAGGAAACTGTATCTGCGTTACATGGACCTTTAGAGACTATAATACCATCCTATCAAACAATTTTACATAATATACAAAAAGATTTTGTAAGTACGATATGTTCTAACGAAGCAGGAACTCAAACAACTGTATCAAATAATCCCAGAAGTTCTTCTGAAAGGAATGACATTCCAATAGATGATCGATCTTCAGTGAGGGTACCCATTAATCGAGCAATAAATCGGTAATTTGTTAATATTGATTTAATTAATATGTTCACATAAGATTTTTGTATATTACTTTAAATTTATAAATAAAAATACCTAAAATAAAAATATTAGACTGGAACATTTATAGAGAAATTGATGTCATTATTATATTTCATTATGTACATACTTTACTATGTACTTTATTATGTACCAACTTACACGTTGCTTTGTACAATTTTATTATACTTTCTTAATGATATACGAGATGTCTTCCCATTAGATATCTAATAATTTATTATTCCATCATAAATGATGTAGTATTTTAGTTTAACACATTATTCATTTCCATCATTAGACCTGAATATATGGGCGTAGGAAGTAGAGATCTTGATCCACTCGCAGAAGGTGGTGGTATGATATTCGATCCTTTTGAAATGAGGCGTCGTCAAATTGGACGTTTACCGGGTGGCTTAGGAATACCTGGAGTGTTGCCCCCGTATGTTATATAACTTTATACGCTTATAAGAGAATCTTTTTCATTTAAAAATCAATTTAAATTTAATATTGCAGAAATGCGATACCACCTAGTGCAAGATTCGACCCTTTCGGTCCACCTGAGCCAGATCCATTGAGACCACATCGCCGTAGACCCGATGATGACCATTTACCTCCTCCAGAATACAATGATATGTTTATGTAACAAGTTATAGAAATTTAAATTTAATGAAAATGGAGGTACACAATACAAGTATAGAGTTTTTTTTTGTATATTAAATGTTTGTATCATGCCAATTTGCTAATGTATCTCTTCTACAATATATTTTATTATATCATAAAGAAACATATGAAAGACACATTTTCATATTTTTTTGGGGATGAGAATAAAGCCAAAATATTTATTTTAGTATATATCAAGGTATAGGAATTATTATAAAACGTTTCTTTTTTTTCACAAAACAACTTCCATTCCTTTTTATTTCATAATTGATGTTTACAATGTAACAAAACGATTTAATTTAATGTTTAATTTAATTAAAACTAATTGTGTAATGATAGAGATAGGAAATTATATTGAGAAATTAAACAGTAATATTTATTTATAAATTGCGCTAACTCGTTATTTTTATTTCTTGTTTAATCAATTTGTAGGGAGTGATTGTTATTATTTTATGTCGGTTCAAAATAGAGGATTTCTTTGCTATCTAAATTGTTCTTCCTTGAAATATTCACATTAGACATATGATTAAACATAAGAGATCTTGATCAATACATAAAATTATTGTATTATTTAGATCGACAATCAAATAGTTATTTAAAAAAGATAGTTTCAGTTACAATTGCATTTGTTTTTCGTGTAACATCAATATATTGCAGCGATTCGATTCATTTCTTCGAGAAATAAAATACTTCATACTCTTTGCATGCCTCATTTATAAATAAGATTATGTATCGTTATTGCACAGCAAGGCAATTTTACATGTTATATTTTTTTATTGAACATTTAATTTTCAATAAAATGTAATTGAACATTTAATTTCCAATAAAACAGCAAGGTGTATAATTTTCTACAACTGTTAGCTTCAGTAACCACAGTCTGCTTTTAAGTCTATACTTTTTTAATGCATATTAAGAAAATTATATCACAGATATAAAAAGAAATTTATTTAACAATTTAATTACACCTTGAAGAAGTGAATCGATGCGCAAAAGTAATAATTAAAAAAACAATGAAAATTATACTGGTAACTGTTAAAATAATATCTATTTCGTCACGAATATCGCTTGATTTTTTTAAAGAAAAGGATTGTATTAAAGAAGAGACATGTTAAATTGCTGTAATTACCATAATTGAACTAAAATTAAACAGATAAAAGTAATGATACTTTTGCCTCTAAGGTTGAATCATTTGCTTTTATATATATCCGAATATCCCTCGTCCCATCCTCTGGTAAAAAATATTGCAGTTTTTAATATTACAAAAAAGGAGCGGTATCAGATTTTAATTTCGATTCGAGTCTGCGATTATAGTGAATGTACCCCATTGTCACTCGTTAAAGAATACGTAAAAATAATTAAAGTTGTCTCTTTTTTATTTGATAGCTAAGTAATCGATTCCTAATCGATTATGTCAATCGTGTTTAGTTACCGCTTGTATAGGAGGTAAATTGCCAATACACGATTAACAAACGTGTAATGATACGTAATCATTGGTATCATGTTCTAGAACACAACAGCGCGGATCTCTTGGGTGTCGCGAAAATGGCAATAAAATATGTTTGGTTGAATGTAATAATACATAGTAACCAGACTTGATTGCCATACAACCATTGTGCAATAGATTTTATTTCCGGTACGCATTGTTACTCATTATTGAATAAGATAATAATAAAGCAAAGATAGCATACAAATACAAAATAATGTACATTCACATGAAATCAGCAGACACGCGTGAAATGTTCTAAGTATTATACTTCATTATTTTACGAGTGAATTTTTCTATCCTTTGAACACAGTTTAGTGTGGCGTACACAGCATCATTGACAATTTTATCAAAATAGAAGACGATGATGATTTTACATAATATGCTTGTATATCAGATTGAAAAATCTACTTTGACTAAAAGTTAGATATGCAAAAATTTTGATGAAATTGTCATTGAGCTACGGTAATACGTGATATATAGCTCTGGAGTGATTTGCTTCACATTAGTTTCTCATTATCCATCACTCAAGTTAACGCAGATTCCAAGTCCAATAAGAGTTAAAAACATCCATCAGCGGTTTGGCATGCCATTGGAAATGCAACGTAATGCGTTTGTCCTTTGTTTTTCAAATAAAAAATATCCTATGTTTAATTTGAAATACTTTAGAGCTCTAATGCTCTGCAATTCATGTTTTATCTATCAAACCATTGCAAATCAATTATCAAAATGTGTAATCCAAACATAAATTGTCGCTAATATTTTAGTAATTAAAATTAATATTAGCTATAATTAACAAAATTCTATATATACGTAATGTATGTAATTAAAAAAAAAAAAAGAAAAAGAAGACAATATATTGCAATGTCATGTTATACAAGTGTGATGTGTTACATTCAGACGTGTACTTTTTTTTTAGTATAAAATCGATTCTCTTTTATTATATCTTGATTCAATGTAGAAATAATTTTGATATTGATCTCGGAATTTCATATTCTGTAGAGTTATAACTGAGATAAATTGTATTAAGAAAAACAATTTTAAAAGCCATTGTTTAAAAAGAATATATGTATTTTCACTTTATTTCGATCGCATGCTGCGAAAAATCTAAATATAAAATCTTCCTAAAAAGCATTATCATATTTGACATTCAAAGCAGATTGCTTTGATATGTTTTACTTAAAAAAATATAATTATATGTAAATATTAATTATATGTAAATTAATTCCAATTTAGATACTTTTTACACATCTTGAAATTTAGTTTGCAATAAAATGCAACCAACAGCACTTTCTAGAGATTACATTTGCAAATCATAAATTTTTTGTTTTTGTGTATATGCGTGTGTGAATGTATATATGTGTGTGTATCACACAAACGCAACACAATTTACTAGCTGAATAAAATAACAAATCAATGATATACTGAATGTGTTATTACATTCATTACAATTACGTTGATTTTCCTACATTTTTTTTACTTTTCTAATTAGACAAAGAAAATTTTTTTTTGTTTATTACAAAGTTTTATAAAGAATTTTGGTCTCAAAAAAAAGATAAGTATTATATAATGTACGAGTTTGTACATGTATGTACGAATAACTCTCACGTCACGATTTACACATAAGTAAGGCTAAATGGCAATAATATAATTAATTAGATTTAAAAAATAATTATTACCATTTCAAGACTTAACTTTTGTTCTTCAATGGTCAATATTTCTCAAGTATCAAAAATAACATATAAATTTATTTTCATAAACGGAAATAGCAACAATTTTGAATCGAATTCCTCTGCGATGGCTCATCTCGAAATATAAAATTGGGTAATGCAAAATGTGACTTAAAATTGGTTAATAATTATCAACCAACGTTGCATTTCCAGTGATAGACCATTCAGAACAGATTTGCTACAATATGCCACTTGTTGTCAGGCGCAAAATTCTACACATTTATACCAATCAGTATGAATTAGTGTGACTTTTTCCATCTTCTCCTTTTCTAAAGTATTCTTTGATTTATTGAATGCAGCAGGAATTTTTTTGTCCATTCTTGAGCTTCAATCGAGATTTAGGACGATACTTTTCAAGAAAAGTTAACTGCTTCGCATTTATGGCGCCTCGTCTTTTCCTGGAATAAAGAGAGAAAAAATCATGACAAAACTTATCTTTTGTTTCATTGTAACGTATTCTGCTATTTGAATAATTAAAGATTATGGAGTACATAAGATGACTTACTCTCTGATAAGGGCAACAGCATCTTCGAACTTGAGCCCAAGTTCAATGAGAGCTAGCGCAACCAAAACCGGTGCTCTACCAAGACCCGCGACACAATGCACCGCCACACATGCGTCAGGTGATTCTCGGAATCGGTTTTTTAACAACTCGAACCATTCATCCACCACCTAGAAGATTTATATGAATAATGGAAGATGTATCAACGATTTATTTTTATTTGAATTTTTCTACTTTTATCTCAATAAAAATAGACTGAAGATAAAAACTTTACCTCGTTTGGTGGAAATGTACCGTCATCGAATACCAAATCTATCACATTGATCCCTTCAGATTTGAGTTCCTCTACTTTGTACGTTGGTTCACAGACTCTTACTACATCCTTTACATTGTGCTTTTTCAGTTCCTATCATAAAATATAATGCAATTTATAGATAGGAAATAAAAATAAAGATTTGACACAATGTGTCTCGCGGACAGTTTCGTTCGTATACTAACTTGAATAAAGGTATGGATGGTTTGATCATTGGGCCGATCAGTAATGAGGAACTTCATGTTTTTGTATTCAATCTCGGCGGGCGCCGGTCTGATATCCTTCACCCTCATGTTGCTCATTTCCTTCTTAACCACAGAGATGGTTATAATATCTATCCCCTTTTATTGTTTTTAACTCTTAAAGATCTCGTACGTGTGCCACACTATACGAAGCGACAAAGGCTGGATTTGACAACTTAGCCCATTAAATGTCAGTCTTATAAAGTTGTTTTTCATTTAACTAATAGAATATATATTATTTTTTTTCAGAGGACAGAACTGTGTGGGTTTACATGTAGAATTTAGAAAGGATCGTAGGGATGCGAATTTCGCCGAAAAAGTAAGGGCTACGTTACATTAGGCGGTGTTGATATGCGCTTTATTCTTCCCACTTGAGACTTTTTGACTATAATTCACGGAAGATTACCTGAAATCAGTATAATTGTAGATAATGAGTATAATTTAAATTATTAGGAGAAAAAGCTTTTTCATAGCTTTTCTTGGAGGAGCTACTCTTACCTATTTGGCACTGGGTGCTCCTGTGACAGGTGCGCTCAGTATCTACGATGCTTGCATCTACTAAGGTAAATTAATAATTTCTATTAAATTCTTCTATGTCTTGCGATGACTAGTTGATGATTTTTCTGGCTTCCCCGCGGTGATAATTCTCTACTACTTTAATATCTTTCTTCCTTTCTCCAAGGTGTTTCTAGCCTTCCTCTCTTTACCTTAACGATGTCTAATAATTGTCAGGGAGTATGGGCGTGTCTCTCTATTTGTGTTGAGCCTGGCAGTATTCTGCGCTATCCAACTGAAACTCCATGTATGTGAGGATGCACTCACCAGGAAACTGCAACACAACAGAATCAAAGATGATACGATCACGCGCTTCTTGATTATACGGAATAAAATGATAATTTTAAAACAATCATTTTCATCGCGCGCTATTTTCATTGTACTTCCACATAACAATTGCGAACTTTCGCACAGCGGTCACGCGCTAGTAACGCTTGATGCCAATTTTTGAGCGTGTGTGCAATTTTTGCTCCATGTGTGTAAGGAGCCTTATGCCATTTCGTCTCTTTGTATTTGTTCTTTTTCTACACGGATAAAAATGTAAAATAATATGCAGAATTTTAGTAAATTTTATGGAATTGGCAGATAAATAATATAGAAACAGATTTACACCACTTATGTTAAAAATTCATTTTACTTTTCTGATAAATGAACGATCATCGTATAGCTATATTGTAAGATATGTACTTTTACATTATGTAAAATAAATTTTGAGATTTGCTTACAGTCTTGAGAATAGTTTTATTTTACTATAAGAGAATATACAATCATTTGAATAAATTTACTATAATTGTAATATACTTTTTACCTGATATTTTTATTTTTAGACAAGTAAAGTTTGTCATATAAGTTTGGCAAAAATAATTAGAATATTTTTATTAATAAGGTAAAAATTATTCAACTTTTCTCCGTGTATCTCGATAGTATTAATATAATAAGATATTCGTCAAAATAATATAACAGTTTTTGAACATGGTCGTAGACACTACCGCGTCTCCTGATTATTCTCTCTTGAACAATTTCGTCTTGACTGCAATTTGACTATCAAATTGACTATTGAATGATCGAAATATCATTTGTGCAGGTGTATAGGTTGCGGAGGGAACATTTTGAGATCATTTTTAAATAGAGAATGCTAATGATGTACACGGTTAATATTATAGGTCGCAGTTTGTAGCTGTTCTATGCCAAGCTTGCGCGCTGTCGCATTCGAAACAACGTGCGTAGTTGACCTCTCGATCTTTCGTCGAGACCGATTTGCGAAAGCTCCCTTTTGCGTAACGCTGCCGTCAATATGCGATGTACGACAGTTACCGAGCGTCACTGATTGACGGGAAAGAGTATGACCGACCGACATTCAGACCAGTATGCATCAAAATAACCGAAATTGGCAGGTGAGGAGAAGCTCGAGCGCGAGAGGCACTGGCTATATACGCTTCGTGAAACGCCGCCAAGGCCAAATCCATCAACGATGGCGTCGCGCGTCCGACCGCTTCGACTGTATTCTATTTCTTTAACATGATGCCACTGAATATATATATATACATATATATGCATATATACTCGGCTACTCTGTATGATTACTCAGAAATTTCAGATTTTGAAAAAATTGCTCAAAGATACACTGAAAAAAGAATCTGTTAATCTAATACATAGTTACCAAATGTTGAGTAAAATAATCAAAAGTTCAGTTATGATAATAATTTTACTTTTCCAAATATTTAATAATTTGACTAAGTTGATTGTTGATTACATTATTACATATGGTATAGTAGTATTTACTAAATATTTAAAAAAATTATATCATTTTTTGTGATTAAAATTATTTCACTGAATACTTGATAGCTATTATCAGATTCTTTTTTCGGGATATGCACCGTGCATGACAGCGTTTGATAACAAAATTATCGAGATGGAACCAGGCCAGATATGTCTGATGACACGATTAGTAAAAAATTGGTCTACCTTGACGAGATGTAAAGGTCATAAAGGCACGTAATAATTAGTGGATATATATATAGATATAAAAATCTCAAGGTATAAAATTACTTGAATCAAGCTACAGACATGTAAACCGTACGGACATGTTAGACTGTGTGGAAACTCAATTTATACTTTATGAAGACGATATATTAGCTTTGTATATACTTTTCCAAGCATTCCTTTAAACGATACGTTCCCCTAAAAATCTCATTTTCAAATCTCTAGATTTTTCAGAAAAGATTAAAGCCACTCTTCAATTTTTTTGGCTTAGAATTCTTACTTTAAAAAGTGAATTGAGCCAGTTTTGAAAAAGAGTGGTTCAGTCTTTAAAAGTGAGATTTATTTAAAAGTTTTAGACAGTAAACATATAAGTATTATATATTCATTCAGACAAATTAATTAACATTTTACCTAAGCTTATAATTCTCTACATAAAAAAGAGAACAGAAATATAGCAAAGAATAAAGAAATTGCGGCAATAGAATATATTTATCTAATAAAAATAACGTAAGAATCCTGTAGCAATGCATTTTATTGATCAAAAGAATGCCTGTGCTTTGTTCGATTTGTCAAGAAAATTAAAAAATGTAAAGGTATATCAAGATACTGTCGACAGAATTTAACCGAGTTGAAAATTTATACGGAAGACTTACATCATTAATGGTGCTTTTATAAACAGTGTACAATTGTCATCGTATTGTATGAATACGCGATGTCGCCATGATGGCGACTGTAAGCGTTAAGAAAACAAACCAACCAGTTCACTCGTACACAAGATTATTATTACTCTCTAAATTCTTTGGAGTGCAATTACTCTAAAGAGTGAAAATTGAGCTAGTCTTGAAAAAGTGGTTCAATTTTCAATCTTCAATGCCGGTTTCTATCACTGTAGATAAACTTTAATCTCGATTCAACTTGCTCTTCATTCTTTTTTAATTAATTCTTAATTAGATAAAGATGAAGAGTTAGTTGAACCGAGATTAAAATTAAACTACATTGGTAGAAACTGGCACAAGTGAGATTTCACTCTTCAGAGCGAGATTCATTCTATAAGTTTTAGAGAGTATCAATGGTAGGAGAGATAGAGTCAAATATTTTTAAAATTAAACTGAATCTGATATTTTTCTCTTGGTATTTCATGACTTCGAGGAAAACTCTCTGCAATATTATGCTAGAATTTGCAAGATTTTGTAGATATGATCTGCACTGTAACGTAATTGAAAGAGTGCCTTGTATAAAGAAATTGATGCAATCGAAATCAATTTAGGCTTGTATTCGGTAGAGATCGGAAACGTCAAAGACTGTCGCAAGATTAACGACGCATTGGTTCTCGTGATAGTAAACAAAATTCTATTTGCGTGCAGTTACGTCGCGAACCATGTCGAACAGACTGCAAACCGATGCGACATACGAAGAACAAGACGACAAAAATCGCTCGCTCCACCTCTATCGATAGAACGTATAATGGAAGTCCCCGTGGAAGAAAATAAATACGTTGAGTATTTATACTGAATATTTTTATCCTTTAATGTTATCTGCTTGAACGCCCAAGAAAGTGCGATATTCGCAAATGGTCCTATCTGATACATAGGTATAAATATCTAGATATTACCTACTTGCTACAACAATGGCATAACTCAAAAAACAAAATTTTCCAGGAAATAAGGTTGAACATTTTGTAAATTTTGAATAATATTTTGAAATGTAATTTTGATGTAATATGACTGAAAGTATGTTTCTTGTATGTACGTGTTCTTCATTTTTTATTTCTGTTCTTTTCTATGAACAATTCCAAAATGATATTTTTTAGTTATGTCATTGTTGTTGCAAATAACCAATGTATGGTATATTTCGTACATGCGAGACAAAGACAAGAAATTGAGGGACTTAAGAATTTATCTTGATGTCTTTAACTAAATTCTAGTGTTTCTATTAAAAAAATTTTTTTTATTTTTGATGCGTCTCTATCTGCTGCTAAATACGAGACAATTTTATACTATAAATTTTTGTAAATTTACGAATAATTATGATACAATAATTTAAATGACGCATCGGAAAGATACGCGCGATAAGATGTGTGTGTGTGTGTGTGTCGCGTGCGGGTATTTTTGAAATTTTTAGAGTAAGTTTCACTCTGAAGAGTGAAATATGATTTTTAAAAATTGAAAATACAAGGCTGATTCAATTTTCATTCTTTAGAGTAAGATTCTATTCTAAAGAATTTAGAGATCAAGCGGATATTAATTCAATCTCGAAAGAATAATGCTCTTGCAATACGTTGCATAATTGTAGCCAACGATATCGACGAATTTATGACACAATATCGTTATTTCTCTTTGTCTCGAAGAAAATGAAAATTCATGAATCGTATCTACAAAAGTCAGTTATTAGATTGATTATCACGATTTGTGCCGAATACTATCGAGAAAGCACCGTACAAACGAATGAGTTTAAACAAAAATATCGATGCACAAAAAGAATTCTCAAAACTACACGTATGTGCGAAGCGGCAACATCAAATGTGATTTTCTTATATTACTATACACACTGAAAGAAAAAATAACTTGAAAAAAAGCTATTAGCATCTACCTATAAATAAATAATTTTCTTGATATATTAATAAAATTTTTTTATATCAAGATGTCTTTTCTCACTAAACAAATTTTAACATAGGAAAATTATTTATTCGGTGAATCCTAATAACTTATTATTTTGTATCAAAGTATTTTGTCTCTCGATGTATTATTATTATGTTATAGTTGGAGGAATAGAAAAATCTTCCACAGGGATCGACAAGCACATCGATGTTACATCAATGCTTATCTAAAACCTTTCCTTGAGCAACAGCTACGTCGTGCGACGTCGTCATTGTCGTGCCAATTTTCATTCGAGTAAAGCAACGTTATGTTTACAGTACAACTACAAGTATTTAGCGCTGAGACATCTCCATGTCTCCAGATTTATTTCGAAAGCAAGTGAAAACCCGACGATTCCAGCACCAACTTTCATCCTGTTAACTTAAAATTGTCACTTCCGACAGTCATGCAATGTCACGTTTATCGCTTGATACTCGCGAACTTTCAAGTACCGATAATAGTCTCACTTTTAGTTTATCCGAAAGAAAAACTCTTTGCATCAGAAATAAAGAATATCAAAGTATCTAAATTTTTTGGTTAATATCAAAATTTTTTGAAGGACATTGATTGACATTAACATTTTTAGCTGATTATTTGACTGATATTATTATTATTATTAATATTGTAAAAAGACAAAACATCCTTAACTTCTATGTAGTGAAAAGACAGAAAAAAAATGATGAGTGTTGAATTTTCACAAAACGTATAAACAAGCGATAAAAAAAAGTGTATTTAGTGCTCGATATATTGTATATATATATATAGTAGTATTTATTTTAGGATTATTTGGATCATCGCGTTTATAGATTTACAAAAACAATTACGCATTCAAACGTTCGCAAAGTTTCTTGTCAAGAAAGAGAGAGAGAGAGAGAGAGAGAGAGAGAGAGAGAGAGAGAGAGAGAGAGAGAGAGAGAGGAAACTTTACCTTACGGTCATTTGATAAGAAGTTCGCAAGTCCGAGGTCACGTGAGTGTTCCAAGCTAATTAAGCTCTAACAATAATAAAATAATTGGCGTATTGTCACGCGGTCAAAACGGTTATTATAACGTGACGAAATCACCACACCATGCACCAAGAAGTCACATCTTAATGTCGCGCACGCGTGCACTTTGGCGAAGCCATTCCAAATTTACAACTCGAGACGTAAAGTATTGTTCGTATTCTTCCGTATCGTCCATACCGTCAAAGTACAAACAATAAAGTTCGATCTTTCGACGCGTTCCAAGTTTTGTCAAACGCAAATTATGTTGACGAATTGTGTTAATTATTTTACATTAGACTCGAACTCGCGCGATCGCGTTCGGCGAAAAATTTTGCATCCTTGACGGAGAGAATTCAATTCGATTCTTCTCACCGTACAGCGACGACTACGATTTCAGCAATTTTCGAGCGAGACGAATGGTGAGATCGAAATCGGAGTAGCGGGCGGAGTCGTGACTGCCGTGAGGCCCAGCAAACGCGCGGCTGATATTATCGTACACTCGTTTCGTCGTGGCGGTCGCATCGAATCTGGGCCAGCCACAGCGTGGTGATCAAAATAGCACGGCGTCGAGACAGCTTCCACCCTTCTCTTCATCGAGCGAACACTCGTCATCTGATCCCCCTCCATGTATGCATGCACGCATGCACGCATACATGTGTACGGTATACATTCCACATCGCTATATCGCTCGACTCTGTCGCTCATTTTGACAACAGTAACATTTTGCCTTTTGCAGCGTATGGTTGCTCGGTGAAAACCCAGGTCGCGTTGAGATTACCCGTTGTACATCATCGTTTCCAGTCCCTTTCGTACACTGGAAAAAGTCTTGTTGCGTTAATTGGAATTTTGGCAGACTTAACTTGAAAGAATTATGAATATAATTAAATCTGTCAAACATTTTAATCGAGATAACCAGAAATTTAATTATAATAATCAGAGAGTTATTGTGTGTGTATCTTAAAACGTTATAAAAATTACAAAAGTGAGCAGACTCTTACAGATGTTGACCAATGAAATTATAAATATTCTAATGAATTTGTTCACTTTTGTAATTTTCATCTCATTTCAAAATATACATTGAGGGACAAGTGTTTGATATTTGTGACTATAATGGCATAGAATAATTGTGACTAGGGGTTCCATTTTTATGGTTATTACTGCTATAATATTAATAATAACTATATTAATAATTTTTTCAAATTTGAGAAAGTTGCAACATAAATCTTTTCACGATAATTTCAAATATTGATAAAATATCAAGGTATAAATGATAAATAACATAAATAATTTTTATTTAGTAAATACGATCGCAATTACAGTGAATATAATTATAATATTTTCTTAATCTTACTATTTATGCGTGTGACTGTTATTAATAACACAATCGATTAGATTTGCGTGGTTGAAACAACTATAAATACATGTATATAGTTGTGAAGAATTTAAATTATAATTAAATTGTGATAATTGCAACAATTTTTTTCTCTCAGTGTACTCAATTGATATGCAGCATCGTACTATCAAAATGTAGCTCGCAGTGTTCGATCGCAGATTTCCTTTCGACACCAGAGAAAGTCTCGCAACGTTTCGGCTGCTGGCGCCGCCTAATCAATCGACTTCGATACCAATCGATGATCGCGTGCCAAATGGCATGTAAGTATCGCAGATTTGTAAATCGGTAATTTATAAGGAGAGGAACAAATAAAATTTTAATCAACCTCGATACGATGTCATTTCTGTAATCGCCACGTGTCGGCGATTAGCGCGGTTAATATAATCGTGCGATTATAATGGCGATATGGCGAACGTCACGAGGAAGAGAACTAAATCAGGAACCGTCCAACGGTTGCGCGTTATTGCATGGGATTGCATAAGATTGCATGGCTCTTTCTGCTACGCCATCACGTGTAAGCCCGATAAGTCGCTACCGATCTGTAATCGAGTTTTCTTACATTTTTTTTTTTATTTTTTCATTTACGCCACGCACGCGCCTATCTAAATACCGTCAACCGATCAGTAGGCGCGCGCGACTTTCACGGTCATTCTCGCTACGCGAGACCAAGAGAAAACAAAATCGCTTGTATGACGTCAAAACTCGTCGAGCCGGATAAATTACTAGGTCGTTTCAGTAGCGTACATATACATATGTATACGCATTGTCGCTAGACACGCGCGACTTGTCGACTCGGATGCAACTCGATGCGATCCGTTTCGAAGAATCGCCGATCGATGAGAGTACGAAGAAACGAAATTGGAAGTTCACCTCGACACGCGTTTAACATTGTCAACATCGTGGCCGATCTATAACATAGCGAGATAACGTCCTGGTACCGCTCGAAACCACGTGTCCTTCGGCCACAAAATGTTTTCTAAGACACTACAGAAATAGCTGACAGCATTCAACGCGTTAAGAGGATTCTAAAATCGTCTGTGTTTTACCGATTATTTTTCACAAATAAGTAACTGTCTTTTATATATTTAAATTAAAAAAATCTTTTCCACAATCAAAATATAAATAGTAATGTAGTCCAAACCGGTCGATTTTATGCTAAAAATGAGAAAAGGTAAATTATAGTTTTATCGGCTTCTTGTAACAACTACTGTGTACAATATATACAAACTTTATACTTTGTACGTACAAAACAATTTTGATTTGAATTAGAGATTACATGTACAAATAATGTTGAGTTCTCAGAATAAGCTTATAGATATTGATAATATAAAAGATTAGTTAGAAAAAATTTATAAGTATGAGTGCGTGCAATATTAATGTGTATCACGTAAATTCGTAAATCATATGTGTGTAAATTCTACTGAATCGATAAAACAGATTTTAGGACTTTTTTTTTAAGTAATCGTAATTCTTTTAAATAACGATAACGATATGATTCTTTTCCAGTCGTGGAATAGATGTGCGATTGAAAAAAAATTGGCCACGGATGCAACGGGAAGTGACGTCACTACAAGAATCAATATGGCCGGGAGGAGGCGTTATGACGTCGGCCTGTGATGTCACTGTCGTCACTCGCGTAGGAGACGCACCATACGCGCGCAAATCTAACCAACGCCAACGCTATGGGGAGCGGTCGTTACGCACGCTCTGTACTGAAAATGGGAGCCACTGACGCTCGTTAATTCTTCCTTTGGACAGGAGCACGATAGATTCTTGTATAATGCATAAGAAAATTAACCAATCAGTCTTTTATTTCATGAAAAGGAAGGAAAATGAAAGATTCGGATTGGTTCATTTTCTGATGCATTACGTATTATGGATTATGCATGACTCCGTATGCTCCTACCCTTATGCACATTCTATACAGTAGTCATTATTTAAACTTTAAATTTTAAGCCGTACAAAATTGATCAATCACAGTCGAATGTGAGAAGAATAATTGACTATGATTGGTCGGTCAATTCTTACAGTTTAAGAAGCTTAGATAATGGCTTATTGTAGAAAGCTTATGTAATATAAAAGTCGATACTATACTATGGAGCATAATGTAAAAAGAAAAGTGTACCATTCCCGTGGATGCACAATAAGAAAGTGAATTACTGGTCAAATCTGATTGGTTGTTTCCAGTATTGTTATCACCATTACGCGCATCTTTGTTTTTATGTCATGCTACGTAGGATGTAGTACAGTGTCACACCTGTTGTTACATAAATCGAATATACACGTGTTATACATTTTTCTATAATCTTCATGTAGGAACGTGTGATACGCGTAATAATACGCGTAATGATATGGTAAACCTACACGTATCATTACGGGAAAACAAAAACGATTTTTTTTGCAAAAATGTCAGTTAGAAATCGCTTTTGAACTTCAAAGGCATCACGCGTATCGCACATCCCTATCTTCATGTTACTGAGCCATGCCACTCAACCGCTCCCATTTCTTCCTTCTCCATTCCTGCCATCACCAACTTTTCCAGACGACAATGAAACAGCAGGGTTGAATGAGCCATAGGGCGACGAACCGCGTATTAGGCAACGTTCATAACGACACTATTATCGCTAGTGAGATTTTTGTCTATCTAATCTTTTCTAAAGATTTTTGTTAAAAAGAGATCCGAAATGAACAATGCTCATGGTAATTTCATTTACGGAAAGTAAATATCGTTTAATTAAATATCTTTGTACCAATAACACTCATTTCAAATATTCGAATATTTAAAATATCAGACATATTTATTTGTAATAATTATAAGAATGGAGAAGAATAAGGATGCACGGAATTACTCGAGGTACACTAATAATAGCATTAATAATTTGCAGCGGTCTCATTGAAAAAATAATTATCGTGAAAATTTTTATATTATTATAAACAAACAGAGAGGAAATTTTTTCTTTCAGTACAAATTTGTGATTTAGCACATTCGTATATAATGTGCTTGCAAAATAAATGTTCCTGGTTTTAAACTGATGCGATTTTACTCGTTGCAAAAGGTGCGGCACGATGCGAATAATGAAAGCGGTCGCGGCACGAGTGGTCTCACAATCAGGTCTCAGGTGTACGTTAAAATCGATATTTCAAGTAGGTCAGTAGGTTACCAGGCGAAGAGTGATAAGAGACCGCCTCGGACTAAGAGTTGCCACTATCATGATACGGAATTATACTCTATTGTAAATGAATAATGTACAACCGGAAGTAGGGGAGAGTTGCCAATTGCATACCGATCGCCTAAATCGTTCATCGTCAATATTTTATGTTATTCCTCAATATAAAACGACACTTTTAATTATAAAAATATAAAGTAAGTAAGAAATAATTAAGTAATATAGACAAAAATTTAATAGGTAACACTTTGTTTTGTGTAAGCCAACATCATTTAAAAAAAATCAGATAATGTTATTTTTTACTCAATTTTTTTAATTCAGCTGATAATAACTTAATCATACAATTTTATTTTTATATTTTTATAAAAAAAGTTTATTGTAGAATATTGTACGTTCTTTGCATATACATATTTATAATTATTATAACGATTATAAACCGATATTTTTATAAAATTTATCAAGTTTCTAAATCATATCATCACAATCTGAGACCGATAATTAACAACGATAAAGGTAATGATATGAGAGAATACAATTATATCGATTATAAAAATAAATTCAATCATTATTGTTTTTTAAATTCAATCAATT